TTTTTTTATTCTTTGTCGTTAGATTATCCAATCTGATGACTACGATGTATTTTTATTTCTTTCGGTAATAACCATTTTCACCGGTGGTCCGTATATAACTATAATTAGCGGAGGCTATCTAATTATGCAAAAAAAATTTTGCCAATTTTTTAGTTAATTATGGTAAATCATTACATTTTATATTAAGTAAATGTAATCATATTTTATTAACTATTCTCTCATATAATAGTTATTACTAAAAGTGATTAATATAGAATCGGACCAACTTTATGGCAAACCTAGCACAAAAATTAGAAAAGAACACCTCGTAAACTTAAAAATGGGTAGAGAAGAGTGGAAGAATGTGGTAAGTGGTGTGAAAAATCTAATTTTAGTGAGTTTGGATTTTTCTAATTTTTTTATTAATTGAATCGTCGGTTTCGGGTCAGCCTGACGGTTCAAATGAATCCTGGCCGTTGGATCTCAACGGTCAAAATGATCCAACGGTTAGATTTTAAATATGACCATTAGCGTTTTCGGGCGGGCCGGTTCGAACCCGAACCCGGACCCAGAATCTTCTATAATTCTTTTTTTTTAAAACAAAGAATATGATCATTGGATTTTCAACAGTAAAAAAAATCCAACAAGCTAGATTCAATATGGCCGTTGGCCGCTGATTGGTCGGAAAAAGTGTGTACTTTATATATTTATTAGCGTATTTGTATATGCTTTGTTTTATCGCACTTATATGTTTTTCGACCTATTTATTTATCAGATGGATTCAAGTGCTATGATATATTTATGTTTTATTTTTAGGATATTGGAGTGTTCTCATGGGCGACATGGCATTGAACGAAATTTCAGCCTGCAGAATACGGGGGTACCCCATACTCGACCCTATACCAGCCCATTTTCCTCTCATATGTGCAAAAAGGCCCAATATGTAATTATGATTTAGTTGGGCTGACTCGGAGATTTGAATATTTGGACTCCACAATTAAAGTCCACGTGCTGAAAGACAAGCAATGGAGAGTCACAATCAATTTTGGCAACCAATGAGAGAGAAAGAGACTTTAGCCACAAACGTAAGGAAATTAATTGTGGAGCAAGAGTTATGCAATAAGGCAATCACTTTTTATTGGAGGCTGGGGGGAATTATTTCTGCTGCCACACATATATTCACGCACAGCAGCCGCAATAAAAAAGAAAAGCAGAGAAAAGAAAAAAACAAGCGAGAGGAAATAAGACGCAGACAGACGCGAGATCCGACGGAAGCGGAGGGAGGCCGCACCCGCACACGAAAGGGGATATTCTTATTCTCTTTCTTTTATTATTTATTATGTTAGAGTAGTTTTTATTTCTAGTTCCGGTGATGTTGAACCTTACGACTTGACGATGTTTGATTGATTTTCTTGGTTGATTATTGAGTTATCTTTTTGGAATTGTTTGTGTTATTTTGAATAATTCACCATGATGTGTTAGTCTTGTTTAGATTGATCACCTAGATTAGGCTTTTCATATCTACATCTGAATTAGGCCTGCAATCCGTAATTGTTGTTGTGTTTAATTCATAAGAGGTAACCGGAAGATGGTAACTACCGGGGATAACACGGCCTATTTAAGTGAGCGAACGCGGTTGAGTTCACTACTTAGTCTAGCCTATTTTTCTAATTCGTAAAGCGGCTAATTGTATTAAATCTTGAAAACGTTTTTCTGGACTGTACAAGAAGTCAGGTTTAATCGTAGAGCGTCTCGCAGTTAAATTAAAATAAGGAAAAATTCGGGTAACTGACCGTGTCGTTGCCTAGGGCTAGTAATTTTAATAAGATAGCGAGATTTGATACCAGAATTGATTAGACGAGTCAGTCGAGGGTGTAGATGGAACCGTGAACTAGAAACTTCTCTTTATTTATTCTATTTTATTTTTATTTCCTTTGTTTATTAGGATTTTTAATAAGTTTAGTTTTTAAACCAATCCCCCCTCTTTTATTGCTTTCATAATTTCAATTAATACGAGAAAATTCACGATTTGATTCACACTCCTCGTGGGATCGACCCTTGCTCGTCACTACTACTAGTTAGTAGGGGTTAGTTGAGGAAAAATATAAATTATAATTTTGCCGCGTTGCGACGCGCGGTCAGCCGCCAACTGTTATTAGCGGTTCCGGGCCCGGCCGGGCTAGCCCAAAATTATAAGAAAATTAAAAAAAAAATAGAAAAATGATTAGCTATCTCAAGAGTTAGTTTTTTTCCGATCCTGAACCGACCCGACAGTTTAAAAATTTATAAATAAGTGGTCCAGAATCGGCCTGGTCAAACTACGGGCTTAGTTCAAGACTCGTTGACCACACAGACCGATTTCGGGCCAACCGACTGGCTTGCCGACCCCTAGTCATGACTCCAAGTATACATTTTCTCACAAATAGACATGACGCACAGCACAAGCGAGGCAAATATGGAAAAAAGGGGTAAAAAAAAAAGGAAAAGCTAAAATATGTAAACAAAAATTTATTAGAGTAAGAATAATAGTATATTTTAAGCTTGAAACCAGTGGCCAATGGGTGGGCTAGCAGCAGTGGCCTGTATTAATTGAAACAGGCTCCTCTCAGCCTCACATTGAAATATGCAGTGCATTAAACTTAGATCAGCTGCTAACATTTATTTTTGGCCATTTTGGCATAGGGTGGCAATTACGGTTTCATGAAGCTCATGAACCAAAAAGTCAACCCTAACTGATAACCCTCACCCACACAAGATTTTAATTAGATGCCCACTTAAAACACACATATAAGCTTTATTATAACACTATTTTTTATAAATATTTACTACATAAATATATATAAGTAAGTTTATTTTTAAAATAGAAGTTCTTTTAGGAAAACAAGAAAAATTTATGATGATCAAATTAAGGTCTGATCGATCGGGTTTTGGCTGATCCATTGTTACCAAGTCCGAAGGACCCATTCAAACCGGTCCCCTTTTTAGGTCGATCATGTCCCAGTTTGACCAGCCGAGCAACTTCGAATAAAAAATATCACAATGTTTTCCTTTTAATCTTATTATTAAATTCCTCAATAAATTGAAATGCAAGAGTCGCATAGGGCTTTAATTATGAAGTTCTTCGGATTTTAATGTATCCAACATTTCATTTCACAAAATAGTTATTCTATTTATTCATGAATTGATGCATTAACATATGTTCTGAACTAATTAGTTCAGAACATGTATCAATATATTATTTATGATTAATTGTTGATGACTCCATAACTCGTAACATCCAATTACTACATATAAAAATGTTCATCTTAATTATATGATGAATTGGTCACTGCAACTAAAATGCTGAATATCAGAAGGAAAGTTGAAATGAAAAAGCTGATGGATCCGACCAACTAAAAACTGAGAATTTATTGGAGGGGCCGTTAGTACCAATTTTGTAATGTGAAACTGACAATGCAAATGCTATTCACATTCATGCTCCATAATACTTATCATTAGAAATGCCTTAATTGTGAGCATTTCTAAATTCTAAAGTACATTTATATCGACTTTTTTCATTTTTATTTTTTATTTTTGTATGAATATTGTGTATATGAGTGTTGATCCAAGAATATATAAAAAAAATAAAAAAAAATAAAAAAAAAAAAAAACTTACTAAGATCCAACGAGCCCTCTATGTGATAAACAAAGTGTTGTCTTACACTATGTAATAATTCCAAGATCCACATTACAATAAATAGAAGGAAGGTATTGACCTTAGTCAACACTCAATATTTAAAAGTCATCAAGAATATTTTAAAATCAACTTTATATATAATTTAATAATTTTCATTTCTTTGCCGTGGCAAATCCATACAAAGAACCATCTCTCACACCTACAACTTGTTGATAGCGCTGAATTTGAATTACACAAGAACTTGTAGATATGAACTTCACAAGCAGAGAAGGTAAGAAATTTAAGGATCAGAAAACTTGCCAAATACTCGAATTTTTCTTTACCCTAATCTCGAATTTTTTTTTTTCATTTTTTTTATAGGAATTCACATTAATTTATTCCACTTCTAACGGCCCGCATTCTTCCAAATTCCTTCAAGCTCCCGAGCAAACGCCCTTTGCCTCCCCACGACTATAGTAATGTGATCTTTATTTTGGACTACCTTAACCCGGGCTCGGGAGATTCTCGATTGCACATTGTAACTGCACTCGACTGGGATCAACTCATCATCGTTACCGTGAAATATAGTCACATCACACTTGAGTTGACTGTTGACCTCGTCCAAATAGCCCTCGATTTTTCCGGCAGTGCCGCAAATTATGTTGTGAAGCGTGTGCCAAGCGGCATTGTGAGTGTGAAGAAAGAAGCCCTCCATCAAATAGGTTCTCAATCTAACAAAAATGAATAAATAAATAATAGATGAAAAATAAAATAAATTTATTTGTGACAGTTTGCAAAATTAAAGTCTTCATCAACTACATTTGAGTTGTCTCATATTGATTATATAAACATTTGAGTTGTCCCATATTGAATATATAAAGAAAATGAGTCTAGTTTATAAGTTTAGTGAACTACTCTTCCAATCCTAAATTAATTTTGAGATGAAACTTTACTAAAGTGCATTTAGTCTCACCTTACTTGTACAGTTTCTTTGTTATTTTGTTTGGGTATTCTATTACTGATTCTTTGTTTTTTTTTTTTTTANTGGGTATTTACTAGTGATTCGATGTCTTGGAATGATTGTCACAAGTTTTTATATCGTGGACTCTTTCAGATTCATCAATGCGTGTCAATTAATTGTTGGGGAATATATAATCAAAATAAGTTGGTAATTTAATAAATAGAAAATCTAAGAGCATACGATGAAGTGTGGTCCAACTAAGGTGAGTATGTTTGACAAATATATCTGAAAACAACACTATAAGTAAAATTAGAGTTTTTAAAATTAGTTTATTTTCATAAAAACTATTATATATATTTTAAATCATAAGCTAAATTGAAGCACTTAAACTTACTAGAAACATATGTACGAAGTAGTATTGTTTATTTACCAGCAATAACGAGCGATACATGCAGCCGGTAGGCAAAATTAATTCTATGATAACAACTCATTATTAACCTATATTTCAACTAGCTCCCTTAAAAGAGAGTCAATGGACAACATTAATAACGGCACTAAATAAATTGATGACAAGGTAAAGACATTTTAAATACAATAAAAAGGAAATCAATATTATAAATTTAATCAACGGTGGACAACTCATAATTGATAGTCCAATTTTATATAAATTTAATTATTAGCTAATAATATATTATAATTTTGTGTTAAAATTAATAATTATTAAAATATAAAATTTAGTATGTGCATTTTTTATTTTTATTTTTACTTTTATTCCTTTTTACCTGTTAAGTTTTTTGTTTCTCATTAAATATCCCCATTTTCATTTAATATTAATACATTTTTACTTTAAATATTTAATAATGTTTATTTGTTACTCATTTATATCTAATATATCAAATCAATCGTCTTTTTACATGTTATATTAATATTTCCCTACATTAAACTAATAAATAATGTATTTTATCAACACAAGTTAATTTAAATCTTTTGAGTGATGTCAATTATAGTTACTGATTATATCTAAACTTATCTCATAACAAAATATAAATTCATATTAAATAAAATTGATTTAAATTAAATGGATGTTCTCAAAATTCAATTATAACTACATCCTACTAGTTTGTGGGAACTTGACTACTCTTCTCCTTGGCATGACCGGTCAACCACTAAATATTTATAGGTAATAAATTGACGACAGGGCTGTAAGAAATAATATTAATTAGAAAAAAAAAAAAAAGAATAAAAGAAAAAACCACACACACACCTGTTCCTGGTGAGTAGTTTGGTAAGAAATTCCCATAGGCGGTGGTTCTTGCATATGACGAGGCAGATGGTCCTGCTAATGTGCTCGTACCAGCAAGCTATCGACGCGCCGAATGCTATGGGTGGCCACACGCGCCGTGGGGCTACTCTCCTCATCATGTGCTGTGTCGCTTGTTCCCCTTTTGGTGCGGGAAAATATGGCTGCCAAAATTTGGTTTTTTATATATTTATTGGGTCAGGACAGTTATGAAATTAAATTCAAGCCATATCACCAAATTTCTGTATGAGCGGAATTAATAATTAATCAAGCTAATAGTTATGTGGGTCAGCCATTATGTATTTTAACAAACATATATACTCACCTAATAAAATATTATAACTTATCAGTTTGAAAGTATATATATTTAAAAAAAAAACTAAAAAATTCGATTCTCTAATTGTTAAATGTGATTATGTTAACATTAGTATTCATGCATTGTCAAAAGATAAGTTGGACTAGTTAGTGTAGATTTTTTTTTTATTGATCAACAAATACACATATTACACATAAGAAAAGAAAAGAAAAACTCGAAAGTTTGTAATGACACGCTTGAAATGGTCATGTCGATGGTACAAGTTACATAATTTTTTATTTTTTTTCTAATTCAAGGCATGTATTGATAATTTGGATAATCACAAAATCAACCTTTTATGTCCGGCCAATAAAAGAGAAAAGTGAACAAATTTCTTAAGGCCTTTTGATTTAACTAAATACATAGCGGGCCATCACTTAATTACTAATTATCAATGCATATTTCTCTCACAATTCCAACTATTTACTCCACTCACTAATAACTCACATGACTCGAGCTACTCATCAAATACTCTTTATAATTTTATATTATTTCTTTTTTTTTTTCGGTACAATTATTTTTTATTATTTCACACACATACAAGAATTCCACATTAATTGATTCAAAAAATTTAATTTTCCTCATTATTATACGAAACAAAAGAGACAGCCAAGAATTTTATGACCATAATGAGACTCCTCTGACTAACATATAACAAAACAAACGTGAAACTATTGAAAAAACAGCCGAGTAGTTGCAGTAAATGCAAAGACCCCCCCCAAAAAAAAAAAATTAAATAAATAAAATAAAAAACAGAGCACAACGAAAAGCCTCACCGGCGC